GTTAAAAGGAAGTCCAACTGAGTAAAATATTTTAGCTATTTCCCCATCTAGTTGTTCTCTCATTTGTAAATTAAATGTTTTCTCCAAATCACTATCTACAACATTTTTTGTTCTTTTTGGTTCAAATCTCTCCATCCGAAAAGGCCCCTTATTAACAGTATTGTTATCACTTCTAGTTGAAGAAGATGATGAAGAATATGAATCATATGCATTTGAAAGTGGAATATATTTTAGAAACTCTTTTTTACTCATTTGCTCAGTTTCACTGGTTTTTCTTTGCAATTCAACCATTTGTGATGAGCTTATATTCGGGCATACTTTAATTCCATGACCATTAATCTTCAACAAATGAGCTTTCACTCTATAATATGATCATTTGTATGTTGCATTATAAAAATTGTATTTGAATGCAATATTGTCACCCTTCTGATGTTTTACCTATTTTTGTCACATAACCTCACAGAGGTTTGTTATCTTCAATATTAGTCTCTGATGGACTATTAGTAGACCCAATTCCTACACCACTAGAGCTCATTATCCTACGAAGGATCGACACAAATTAATCCACATGAATTTGAAACATGAAAATTTTTAATTAAAAGTGTAGATATGTTGTGCCTATGCCGGGGGTCCAAGGGGGCACTGCCCCCTAGCAGGGTTCGACCCATTCGATACCCCTCTGTACTGCTCCCTCTATACCGAGCAGTACTGAGCAATACCGAGTGCCGAGCAGTACCGGGCGGTACTGAGTACCATGTACCGAGCAGTACCGAGTATCGAGCAGTGCCAAACAGTACTGAGCGGTACCGAGCGGTACACAGTACTGAGCGATACCGAGTACTGAGCAGGGTACCGAGTTCCGGTACCGAGCCTACAATTAAGAAAACAAAGAATGAAGAAAACGAACCTTCAATGCTCACGTCGCCTTCACTATTCGTGTTATCGAGTAGCTCCGTCGATGAAGGATTCTGTCGGCTTTAATGTTCACGTCATCAAGCCTCTTTGTCGACAAAGGATGATCATGTCCGCTTCTATGCTCGCGTTGTCGAGCCGCTCCTTCGACTATAACGAAGAAGACGAACACCTGTGCGGAAATGAAAAACCTAGCTCGCCGAAATGTTTAAGCCGCATAAATGAATAGGTATATCGAGCAGATAACCGAAATGAATAGGGCAAATTACGGCTTTATTTTTTTTAATAGGACACGCGTATCCGATACGCGTGTCTGATCAAATTTAAATAATATTTTAATTGGACACGGCAAAGCCATATCCGACACGTATCCGTGCCGTATCGGAGGCATATCCGTTTCCGACACGTGTCCATGCAACATAGTTTAACATATTACAGCTTTAGAAGAAATCATCTAGGTAATTGATCTAGCTTGACAATTACATAAGATTATACATCCTATTAACTGTATGAATATGATTTTGAATCTCATAATAGTTATGATAAATTTGTCTTTGACTCAGAACTAAACTTCGTTTTTTTTTTTTTTTCTTGGCTTAACTACTACGCCCTATGTTTAGACATAATGACAAAAACTTACCAATATGATGCAAAACATTTTAGAGTTTAGGGCTTCCCAATACAAATCTAAAATGAGAAGCTCAAAATCATGCATAAATGTGCCTAAATTGCAGTCATATACATCTAATTTAGATTATTAATCCCCGCTTTCAAATGAAATTGATAAAGACATAAAATCTACAGAAGCAATAATTAATTATTATCTAACTAAAATATCAAATTCTAGTCTAGCATCATAAAATAATCACACATTCAATCAAAAACTCACACCTCAATTAGAAAAACAATCAGATCATACCCTATTTAAAGATTTTCATTCACTCAATTCAAATAACTATTTAGATAATTGAAAAATAGAGCAAGGAAAGTAAATAACAATCCAAAACTCATAATGGTACAAGGGAATTACCCCAGGAAATTTGCAGCCTTAAATTGCACAATAATAGAAAGGATAACATCTACTCAAAACTCAAGCAATTTGGAAACCAATTTGTAATCAAAGTAAAATATAAATGGAGTAGTTTTTAAATGTCTTATGCACTCATTTCTATTATCACAAATTCTTTTCAACTTTAGGAAAAAAAAAAGCAAGATAGGATAAACCACATCATTCTGAATAGGTTAAAAGTGTTGAGACAACACAAGATAATAATAAAAAAAACGACAACCAAAAATATCCTATAATTAACTTAACCTCAAGTCATTCTAGATAGTTCCAATCTCTGAGTTTCAAGTCACTAATGCAAAATATTCGTAAGTCCACAATTAAGAGAAGATAATATATTTCGATTGTGAATAGATGCACACAAAAGAAAGTAGATTGCGAATTGAAGATTCAAGTTACGACATACATCAAAAACCTAAAATAGCAGCAAAGAAAATGAGTGGAAAACTCGATGCACAGCAAATCACTACCCAAAGAGCCAAATAAAAACTACGCAACTGAACCAATTCAAAACACGAAATTGAACTGCACGGGAGATGAGAAAGATTCAAAACATTTAGAGAACATAACCCATTCTATTAGGGATTAGGATAGGCATAATAAGCTAAATTAAAAAACTAAAAAAAATCATAAACTACCAAAAAAAAAACTAAAATAAATCCATATTCGAATTATCAATTTGATCGTCTAAATACACACATCAGTGATTCCGACAAGTATAAACTTAAAGGATTTAACTTAAAGGATTTGTACTAAATTTGTTTGGCTTGAAAAAAAATTGGCTATGATGAATATAACTGTTTATATTCATTAAGCAAAGCTATGCATTACTGTTGTGCGTCTTGTAGAGTAATCTATGAAGCATCACAAACAAGCCTATGCCAATGCAGAAGATACCCTTGGTATCCAACATCAATAATTGACAATTTAATCTTTTTAGATCACTTATAGCACAATATGTATATGATTGTAGGAGAAAGTGTTGGTTGTGATTCTTGCTAGCTTGGAGTAATTAGAAAGTGCAGATTTATGAGGGAAGTTTTCCCGTTATACTGACAATACGTCTAGACTATTATTTGGTGAATTTTTTCTTTTCTTTATTTATATTATCGAATTTAGCAATTAGCTTATTTCTGTGTTCATTTATACTCAAAATTGATAAAATATCATTTTTTTTTTATTGCAATATAAAGTTTTAGTCAGTCGTGTATTTTTTTATGCTCCTCAAAATTCAATGCAAATTTTCTAATAGATGATTGATAGATTATTAGTTGTGCAAGTTTGGAAAACTTTTAAGTTTTCAACTAAAGGGGTGAAAATCAATATAATTTAGGGGTTGTTTGTTTGTTGAAAATGAAATGTAGAGAAAATGGAATACTGTGTACAAGAAATAGAATATATTTGAAATATTTAGAATTGTTTGAATGAGTATAAAGTAAATTTAGGTGATTACTTTTCTTTTTTGGCTTTAATTAAAATGAATACAGCGTAAAAAATTAAATATGACGGTGGCCAGTGGTCAGCAAATGCAGTGGATGGCAATGATAGTGGTTGGTGCTTGCCAAAGTAGATTGGTGGTAGCCAGCAACAGTTCATTGTGGCCAGCGATGGCTGGCAGCAGCCAAAGGCGGTTGGTGGTGGCTAGTGATGACCGACTGTTATGGCAGCCTAAAGTCACCGGTGCTTGTTGGTGGTGGCCGATGGTGGTAGTAGAGGATTGCTATATCTGATGGTTGTGGCCTGTGGTGGGCAACAAAGAGGACATAGGTCGACGACAATCAGCGGGCGGTGATAGTAGTGGCGACAATTGACTACAATGACAAAATTGATGATGTATTTAAAAATCACCAAAATCTAATGAATTTCAAATACACCAGAATTATACTTGAGGGTTCATTCCAAATACACGAAAATTTCACTTTGCATTTCTTTTAGTTCAGGCCAAACACCATATTTTCAAAACCCAACATTTGGAATACTTTACACTCATTTATTTTAAACCAAACAATCACTTAGAAAATTGTGAACGGTAAATTTTGAACTTTTGTGCATCTCATTCTAGAACAATACTAGGAAACCCTAAATCCTAAGACATCTTCATAAATAATTATCATAATCATCACTAGCTTTATCCCAAATATTAAGGATCAGCATTATGAATTCTCTATTTTTTACAATTTCCATCCATATTATATTTGGTTTATTGTTTTCCTTCATAACTCTTAACATTAATTTTATCTACCAAATATAATGATACATTTCATACACTTGTTATGTCCAAGCCAAACAATTTCTAAATCTATATTTGTACCATATGTCCATCTTATCATTCTCATTTTGTTCACACTTAACTATTAATAATTTCTTCATCACCCAACACTCGAATCTATAAAACAAAATCAATACAACAACAATTTAACATCATTTCCCTGTAAGTATCAATGATATTTTAAAATGTGTGTGCCTAATGTATGATTTTGGGAAGGGTTGATGCACGTAGCCTTACTCCTGTATTTATAAAGGGTTGAACCTTGGTCCTTTAACTTATACTAGAGGCAACAAAATCGCTACTCCAAGGCCGCCCTCCTAAGTCTACCAAATATTCTCTTATTAATGATATCTCGAGGCACTTTCATATTTAAACCAGTCATCCTTAACTCTAAAAGTTGCTATTTTATCTAATCCGACAGTCAATAACTCTACAACCACTCTCAATAAGCATTACAAAAGTTAAAAACAAGTGACATCATTCAACTTACACCCAATCTAGGAAGAAATGAACCATTTTCCAGCTCCAAGCTTCAGAATTTTCAGGATTTCTTAAGATTAGAGGGTAGGCAAGGAAATGAAATGAAAAAAAAAAAAAAAAAAAAAACATCAGTTGATTAGGAATCAACAGAGATTGATTTGAGCTTTTATAACTTATTTTCATTTCTTTCGCTCATATTTCCATCATCCAAACAGAACCTTAATGATTTGCACGTTCATCAATCCATTGAATCCAGATATGAACTCCAACACACAAGCTGAAATAAAAATTTCAAATAGCTTATACCTAAAAGAAGACAAATTTTAGAGTCTACAGTTCAAAAAAAGTACATATGAAAGAAGAAATGTAAAATTTCTTCAACATCCCCTTCAAACCTAACAAAAATACACATGATATGATGTCCGTAGCAATAACCCTATTTTCTGCTAACGAAATATATCATGTATATGATAAAACCGAAACCCTGCGCCAAAAATAGCCTTGCGATAATCCATTAGATAAGTTTGAAAGGAAGGGGCCAAGGGGTCGACCTGGGGACTTCGATCCTATCTTTGATTCGCTGGATCTTCTTCTCCTTCTTTGGTCTCGCGTTTCCAAACGACCCCTTGAAACGCTTCCCACGCTTCGTCTTCTTATCGCCTCGGCCGCAAGTCATTAAACCATTCTCTGAAGTTGCCTGCGAGGAGAAGGACGAAGTCGATTGCGAGGAAGAGAAAATCACGTGCTGCTCCTTCAGCTGCTGCAGCAACCGCCTTCCGAGTAAACGCATCGCCATGCTCCTTCTCAGGCATCCGATCCCAACAGCGCCGTTGTTGGGCTTAACGGCATGGAACCCTGCACTTGTTAGGTTCACCATGTTAACGGCAAAAACAAAAAAAAAAATTCTTACTAATTGTATTTACAGTTTTACATATCTAACCAAGATTGTTTTTTTTGGGAATTTTGGGACCGAAGTCCGTATATTAATAACTAAGCATTACAAAAAGAATAGAACCCCAACCAGTGGGGTAAAAAAAGAAGGGCAAAAATAGACCCTCAAAATACAACAAAATAAAGAAGAAAAGAGACCAAAATTAACCGGACCCAGGTATAAAAAACTAACAAACAAAGCAACGAGTGCTTATCAAAACAGGCAACTCGAAAAACCACCCTTCCCTGGTTGCCTGCAGGAAGCATCAGAATTCAAAAGAGTGAAACCGCATGGACCGAAGAGTCTGGGAAGCATCCAAAAAAATAACAAGCTCCCAGCATCCTTAGTAATCAAAAAGAAGTCATCCAGAAAGAAGAATCAAAGCTCCCAGCAGGCCATCCAAGGGAAGAGGCCATCATAACGAAATTACTAGTTCTACTCATCATCATTCGGTTGTGGAGAGCAGATTTCTCCATCAAAAATTCCATCAGATAATAAAACCAGAGAGGCAACATCGAATCAGTAATCCATAAAGCAGAAAGGGAACGTCTGCTTAATCCGATCAATATGCTTCCAGGAATCAGTTTTAGCAGTAATGGCATGAGAGATTTTTTTAACAGAGGCAACAATATCCTGTTCATCATTTCCAAATCTCCTCTCATTGCATTCTCTCCACAGGTGATACAGAGAACAGCAAATGACAAGATAGCAAAAATTCTTCTCAAAAACCTTTAGGTTGTGAAGCCCATCAAAAAATTCAAAGACCTGAAGCAACGTGGGGTGAAGCAAAAAGGAGCTGAGAGCAGGTATAAGAGTAGAAATGACAGCAAAAGTGTAGTCACACTGAAAAAAACAGTGTGAAACCGATTCATCCTCCCACTACAAAAAGAGCAATAAGTAGGAATAAAAATGTTTCTCTTGGCTAAAACATCTGCTGTTTTAAGCCCATCCAGTAAAGCCATCCATGTATACGCCAAAAAACTTAAAGCATAATGAGAATGCCAAATATATTTGAACCAAGGAACCTCATCAAAGTTAGCAAAAAAATACTGATGGAAGATGCTGAAAGTTGGGTTCACAGAAGAAATCCAGGAAATAAGGGGGTGCGGCTGTGGTAAAATGGGAATGTCAGAGATACGTCTAGAAGCCCCCAAGCCCAGCTGAGGAGGCAGAGACCATCGACCATCAACAATAAAATCACACAGCCACCCATTGAAAATTCCCGGCTAGACAAACTCAATCACCGAATTTCCTTGGCACCAAGGATCCCAAAGTGCAGATAAGTTACAGTTATCATTAACCACATGGAAATTCAGTTTTTCCTTAATCCTATGAGCAGTCACAGAAATAACCTTCCAGAATTTCGAAACTTTGGAACCGAAGGACTTCCAGGGAGACAAAAATTTATGCTTAAACCATCCAGCAGCCAGGCTATTAGAATTATAGAACCTCCAAATAAAAGTGCAACCAAACGTAAAAGAAAGAGAAGCAATAGAAGACAACCCGAGCCCACCCAACCTCTTGGGGAGGCAGGTTTTGTGCCAAGCAATAAGATGTAGTTTCTTGCCCGAGTGTGCCATGGAAAAGAAACTTGGCACACAATTTCTCAATATTTTTGCAAACCCCTTTCGGCAAAACCGTCCCCCTAATCCAATAAGCCACGGTATTTGTAATAGTGAATTTGAGGAACTGAATTCTACCTGCAAAAGACAAAAATTTAACTTTCCAGCCATCAAGTAGAGTAGAAAGCCTACTCAGTAGTGGTTGGAAGTGAGAGGTTTTAAGCTTTATAGAAGAGATGGGAATTCCAAGGTAAGTGAGGGTGTTCTCAGTAGGGGTAAAACCCAGTAAATGGGTAATCTCATTAGCTTGAGGGGTGTTTTTAGAGAACAAAATAGAGCATTTAGCATTGTTGACCGTTAGACCAGAATGCAAGGCAAAGGAAGATAGGGCATTTTTAAGAGTGCTGGCATTAAAGAGAGAAGCCTTCCCAAAAACAAGAATGTCATCAGCATAAAGTAGATGGTTAACCGAGAAGCCATCACAAGAGATACCAAAAAAATTGCTGCTATTAATCCCACAGGAAAAAGCATCCATCACCACAGAGAAAAGCAATGGGGATAAAGGGCATCCTTGCCTGAGGCCCGAGGAAGAAGGAAAAAATCCCTCAAGCCCCCCATTAATAGCCACAGAGAAGTAAACATCTTCAATACACCCCTTGAACCAGCTAACAAATAACGGGGGAAAGCCTTTATCAGCAAGTCTTTGAAGAAGGAAATTCCGGGAAACAGTGTCAAAGGCTTTCTTAATGTCCAACTTAGCACATAAATATTTCTCCACAGCTTTGCTGTTAAACTCACTAAGAATTTTTTAGGCAAGCACAATATTATCCGTGGACATTCTCTGCTTAATGAAACCAGTTTGGCTAGTGTGAATAATGTGAGGCATAACCTCTTTCATCCTGTTAGAGAGAATCTTTGCTATGATTTTATAAAACACGTTGCAAAGGGAGATAGGTCTATAGTCCAGGATGTTAGAGGCATGGGATCCCTTAGGAATTAAGGCAATAGCAGTAGCCTTGGCACACCTAGGAAGAAAACCGGTGGAAAAAAATTTTTTAATAGCCCTGCAAACATGATCACCAATGATACCCCAAGCTTCTCTATAGAATTCGAAAGTGTAACCATCCGGCCCCTGGGCCTTAGAGGAAGAACCAGCTAACACCACATTGTGAATTTCCATATCAGACACCGGGAAAGTGAGAGGGGCAACCATATGAGGAGGGATAATAGATCCAATGGGGAGAGGGCATGCCCCGTGGGTGGGGGGAGAGGGGGTATTGTAGAGTTTTTGAAAAAAAATTAACCGCCGCCCTTGCAATATTCTCAGTGGAGTGAAAATGCCCCTCCTCCGTGATAAGTTCCTTAAAACGGCAGTATGACTTCCTGGATTTGATTCTAGCAAAAAGAAAACCCAAATCATCTTCTCCCATGATAAGCCAGTTCGCTTTGGCCCTTTGAATCACCCAAGAACTCCAGGCCTTATGAAACCGGGATAAAGAAGTGTTAATATTGTGGAGAGAAACATTAAGGTTGTGGTCAAGGGGGGAGAACTGTAGCTGAGCCAAACAATGAGATTGAGCCGCAGAAAACTCATTAATTTTGTTGGATATAAAAGAGGAATTAGACCAATTTTTGCTCTTGATGAGATCCTTGAGAGTGTGAAGTTTGGAGTAAAGAGCCGAAGTCGCGCTACCAGAGTTCTGAGAGGCAAATACAGTAATCAAACCATCCCAAAAATCATCCAGGTTAAGCATAAAATTCTTAAATTAAAACCGAGCAAACACATTGGGAGTGGACCCCAGAAGAATCAGCAGGGGAGAGTGATCCGAGCAAGAAGGTGCAAGAACCTTATAAAAAGAGTTAGGGAAGCAATCCAACCAATTTGTATTAACCATAGCTCGATCCAATTTAATATGAATGGGGTCCTCTGCCCTATGATTATACCAAGTGAAATACAGACCAGTGGAAGGAAGGTCTAACACCCCAGCACTAAAAATCCAAGAATTCATCTCCTGCAGGCGACTGTGGTGCAGAGGAAGACCGCCAGACTTCTCCTCAATGAACCGGAAACAGTTAAAATCCCCAAGGATGATCCAAGGGGAAGTAATAGTGGAGGCAATATGAAGTAAGTTATGCCAAAGAGAGGCTCTCTCACAGGGGGTGTTAGCGGCATATATCACAGAGATCATGACATTAGGCATAGAGGTGGAAGTTGCAGTCCCATGAATGGGCTGAGAAGTGGTAAGAATTGGGGAAAAAGAGATAGTTTTGGAATTCCATTTTATCCAAATCCTTCCCGGGGAAGAGCATCCAAAATTATGACAGCTAGCTTCGTCATCAAAAATTCTATACGAATTTATGAACCAAGGATCAGACACAGAGTCTAGAGGAACCTTTGCTTCCAAAATGCAGAAAAGGCAAGGTGATGAGCAGCGACCAATTTTTTGCAAGCCAGAACTCTATCGGGGGAGTTAAATTCCCGGACGTTCCAGCAACCAAAAGGGCAGTGGGTCATTTACGAGTAGAGTTAGAAGACCTAGTCTTCTTGGCACTCTTTCCTTTGGGGGCGTTTTGCACTCTGGGCTGTTTAGGAGGATTGTTACCATGCTTGGATTTCAAGGTGGGATCTTGCTGTTTAGTTTGTTGGCTGGTGGGTGTGGGTGGGTCATTGTCAGGCGGTTCTGCTTCATCTTCCGGTTGCAGGATAACAAACCGGTTAGGAGATGAAACCGGGGGGTTAGCTGGAAAGATAGACGATCCAGGGGAAGGAGGGAAATGGGGGACGAAATCCGAAGATGAGGCTATGTTGGTGACAAAGGGGCAATTGTCAGAGGAGGAAACTTCCTCAGTGGGAGAATTCAAATTCGGGATAGGAATCAAGGGCTGCGACCCAGGAAGAGCAGAGGGAAGGTGCTGCGTCCCAGGGAGCGAAGGAGGATTTTGCGGTAGGTTCAGTTCGGAAACTGGGGGAGGGAGAATCGGGGGGATGGGAGGTTGGTTAATGATATTGGTGTTAACAGGGTTGGCCGGTGTGGTAGAAGGAGGGGGGGGGGGGGGAGGTAGGGGGGGTGTATTAAGTAGGGGAGTTCTATTAATCTGGGGAGGAGGCCTGGAGGATCGAGCTCGAGAGGAACTCCTTCCACGAGCTGGAATAACTTTGGGCTGAGGGTTAATGTGGCAAAGGGAGGGAGGGTGAACAATCGACCCACACCCAGAACAAGGTGACGGCTTCCAATCATAGAGAACTTTCAGATTAACATCGTCCCCATCGAGCGAGATGGGTATCTCGTCGGGAAGAGTGGAAGTGTTTGAAACCAGTACACACACTCTCGCAAAGGTGAGACGGGTTTTTCTCGCGGTAAGAGCATCTACAGCCAAGGGATG